TTTTTGGCCTAAAAATGACAGCCATTTACCCCTCTCTTTCCCTTATATACCCACCTTTTATCCTCTCATTTATTTATATCATAAGTGTTACAATTTAACTAGGCCAAATGTAAAGTGAAGGAAGCTTGGAAGGCAAAGTCGGCATGTTTGGGAAGTCAAAGGTGATGATTTGGCTTCTAAGCATTTAATTCAAGTGCTTAGGTGGCTAAAGAAAACTTAGGATAAATAAAAACATTAATAAGCTGGGTTAATGTAATTAGAAAAAATTTCTTTCATAAAAAATTCAGAAATTTCCATTTTTAAAATTCAGAATTTCTTTTTTTCCAAAATTTCAGCAGTGTTACCTCCTAACCCAGCTATACTAAAATGTGCATAACTCTTTCTATATGTATCCAAAATTTATGACATTTTATAGAGAGCTAGTACACACATAGAAAAACAACTTTTATTCTTTACGTTTTTGTCAAAAATCAATCTAGCAGCATCAAATAAATCTCACAAGATTCGGACAGATTCTTCTCCCAAAATTCCAGCAGAAGGCATTTCGAAATAACCCTCACTATAATTGGTATAACTCTTAATGTATAGGTCCAAATATTATAAAATGTTATACAGAACTATTAAACACATAGATGAATAACTTTTATTCTTTAAGGTTGACCCAAAAATTACTCTAAAGGCCTCAAATAATTCACACAAAACTCGAGCAGAATATAGTCCTTAAAACACCGATTTTGCATATTTGATTTCTTTAATAATTAAACCATTAATCTTAATCACAATAACTTTAATTTAATATAAATCACATATTTCAAGCATTAATTTCTCATGATGAAATGATAATTATACTTACTCTTAATATACATATATATAAAATTATTCTAATACACGTCGCGTTACGGATAAGGGTTTTTACGGAGGTTACACTATTAATCAACTCAACAAGATAGGCTGAATCTTCAAGTGATAATTCAAGTTGTTTAACCATCTCCTCAGCTACTAAAACTGTAGTATTTGAATCAAGATAAAAGGAAAACTCAATTTCCTTGCTCGATCACTTGAAGTTTTTGTAATTTTCAAAGTTAATGAAATTATGTTGTTGTCAATTTTCTCCTTTCTTAATCCGAATTCATTTTTCTTGGTGAACTTGCAAATTTATGGAGTTGAAAACTGGAGCTGCTCATTGATACTTTCTTTAAAAGATCCTACCAAAAGTTGCTTGGAAAGTATCCTACCAAAAGTTGCTTCTTATCAATGCTCATCGAATGAGATCCCGAATGCGACAAGTCGATCATTTGTTTGGCCGTAAGATTCTTTAGTAACTTCATTGAACCAAAAATAATATCTTTTGAATTTTTAGTTGCTAGGAATGGATCTTTCAAGAGCTCTACTACTCGGCAATCTTAAAGAGACAGAAAGTAGACACTTACGTATGAAGTGCTTAACTTGTGGATCATTCACCTTATCAAGAGAAGTTGACTTTATGCCTAAGATTACTTTCTCATATATCTATCTTGGATTTTTGCATTCAAGATATGGGTATTCATAAGTAACCATCTCTAACATGCATAAGCTGAAAGAATAAACATCTCTAGCATGTACATGAGGTTTATATATCATGAACATTTGGAAATCCCTTCCCGGTCTATTAATATCTTTGCTTTCACCCAAAGTCCAAACTTATTTGATATGTAATTACAATTAGATATTGATTTATAAATATCTCTAGCGCACAAGTACCCATCATTTGAAAAGATTTCTAGTGTACCTTCTTATGTTCATTATGTGGAGTACATGTATCTATTCTTCGAAGCAAAACGTCCCGCATTCCTCAACAAACGATCAACAAGACCAAAAATGCCCATTTTTTCCAACATATGTTGAAGTGATCAAATCCAAAATTGTATAACCCTTCGGCCAAGGAATGTTAAACCAATCATAAATTATTGTTCCTAAGTGACAAAACTGAAGTAGATAGATTGGTTTTATGTTTCTCCAATCTTCCGGCTTGGATATTGAAAATGTAGCTCAAATTAGATGCAAATTCATAGATTTCGTTCGAGAGCAACTAATCTATCATATTTTTCTTCTTTTTTTTTGGGAGGGATGAAATAGAATTTGAATTACTTGATTTAGTTTCACAACCAATTATTATTGCATGTTATAACAACAAAGTTTCCAAATTTCGAATGCTTTTACTTTTGAATCTAAACTGTTGTTGGATAAACATGATAATAAATTTCTAGTCATCGTACAAAAAACACTTCTAATCGGTCCAATTACAAAATTGAAAAGCATGTCGAAAACTAGTATGGAGGAATGCATCTTCACTTTAACCCACGACCAACTCTTGGTCTTATTCCTAGGCTTTAGGCAAGATCGCTCTTCCTTTTTTTCATGGCTCGAGAAGATGATGATGCCCCGATCACATAAACTAAATAACCAAACTCGTAAAAACCCACCTCCAATTCCAAGGGATAAATTATTTTAAAATGTAAAAGAGCAAAAACCCATGATCACATAAACTAAATAACCAAATTGCAAAAATCCTAATCTTCGCCATCACAAAAACACACAAACATACATAAAAACCTATAAACTCTTGTCGGCTCCAACCGAGAAAGAGATGAGGAGCGACATCGAAGTAGAGAAGTCACAAAAGCAAATTAAGTAAACTATTTCAAATTAAGAAAATTTCTAGTTGCAGTAGGATATCCTATTCTATCATAAAAAAGAGAAATGGATTGTACTCGTATTGTTGAGAGATTTGATAATGTCTCAATTACATAGTGTCCCGATTCAACAAAAATCCTTTACAATAAACACAATATTATCAATTGAAATGATATTGACTAATGCTAGACCTAAGTAGAGAAATTAAAAGAAAATTACATACAATACCTTGACTTAGGAGAGAAATTGAAAAAAAAAAAATTACATACCCGAGATGAAATTAAAAAAAAAAAACCAAAAAGGAAGATAAAACTTTTGCCTTAACGAATTTTGCCCAATCCTTCAACAAAAAACCATGAACTTTTTCCCTAATTTATAGTTCTCTAGACTTAATCTAAACTAAGAATTGATAAAAACCAAGTGATAAATTGAAAATCTTAGAGACATCGAAACCGAGAGAGAGAAGAGGGAATTGAATTTAGTCACAAAATAGAGCGCAAATACAAGTTGGACCGGTATTGGTAAGTCTGTGTTGTTCGACCAAAAAGTAGCTTGTAGGAGGGGGTTCTTCTTGCAATAGCTGTTGAAGGCAAAGGAAGTATAAGAACACGAGTTGATACTCAAAGAAGACATTAAAAGGAAAAAGTAATTTATGATGATAATATCATTTTTTAGCAAAAGAAATTAAAGCCGACATGTTAATATATTAAAATGAAATGGATCCTATTTGGCATAGAGTATCTTATTACGAAAAATAAATTTAAAACTATCTTATTATAAGAAATAAGATTTAAAAATACCTTATTATGAAAAAAAAAAAAAAACTCAATAAAATATACAGTCACAAACATGAGGAACTGATTAGTGGATTTAAACCTCAAATGTGGATGCCTTTTAATATTGGGCTGTTTTACTTCTTATGAGCCCAAGCCTAAAACGGAAGATTGTAGTTGAAGCCGGCAGGCAGAATATGCCGGTGGATGGTCAGCATCGATCGGCTCCTAGGTTAGGCGTGATAACTCCTGATGTCAAGGCCTCTTACGAGTTGGCAGTCATATTTCCTTTCCTTTTTTTTTTTTTTTTTTTAACACGGTATTAATCGTATTTTCAAAAGAGCTTATTCGAAAAGGTTATGAAATGGGAGGCATCATAAGTCTTAACATACGCTATCCTGGGAGCTGGTTGAACTATGGCGTGGTTCGCTCTCGCGTCTCAGGTTCAATTCTTACAATTATTTTTTTCTAACAGTTTACGAAAATTCTGAGATCTTTTTTCATGGACGGGAGGTTAATTAATATTGACATATTGTAAATGAATTGTGTTAAGTCTATCTGTCCAATGGACCCCCTAGTGCTCATACACTCCCATTATTGTTTCTCAATTTCTTAGCTATCCTGTGTCATATATATATATATATATATATTATTTTGTAATGGTCCGATACGAACTTGTGAGCTTATCTAGAAACTTGGCTAAAGGGTTATGCTTTGCCAACATCCACAGTCAGCAAGCAATACCTTTCATGCCTACAAGAATAAAAATTAAAGACCATTCTGAGTTTTGTAGCTTCCATAAAAGAAACAGGAAGGTTCCACACCCCCGCACACAACAACCCCAAGGTGCCAGTGAGAAATATGCGATAAGGAAGCTTCTTGGGTTCCGCAAGAACAAGGATGATAATTCTGTAGATTTTTATTGCGCACATAAAGTGATCAAACACTTAACCATGAAGAATTCTCAAACAAGGAATTCCCACTACCTAACAAATCTACCTATTTATTGACCTTTAGTATAGATAAACACTATGAGAAATTAATAAATAATTGGACATGAAATGTCAACTTATCGACAAATACGAAAACTTGTACAATGATTGCAGTTTTTTTCTTTTTTTTTTTTAAATTACTGTTAACAAAAGCTATAAACAAAATTAATAAAAATGATTATAAATATAATTAATTATCGCACCCTCCGGTCTATATCTTTCTCCATTCCACGACGAAACGCGAAATTGAACCGGTAATGGTCAACACGTCAGCCACCACAATCCACCCATTATAAATTTCAAAAACTATTCATCTTTTTTTTTTAATTAATAAAAATACTTCGAATTACATTAAAGATCAGCCAATTTTTCTTTTTTCTTTTTTCTCTCTGTCGCACCATTTTTGCTTACTATTGATCTCCCTCCCTCTCTGTATTTACCTATTCTCTCTCTCTACTTCGGTTACTACAAAACGATCTCTGCAACTGTCGTTTTGGATCCACTGATCTGGCAAAGACTCGAGAGAGAATCGGAGGCTTTGGAGGTTTGAATAATCGTCGACATGTCGTTCTCGGATTCTGATTCGTCATCTTCTTACGGTGGCGACTACAAGAATTTTAGGCAAATCAGCCGCGAACGTAAGTTCAATCTCTCCTCTTCTATTCAATTTTTTTTTTTTTTTTTTTTTTTGATTGAGTCAAAAGCCAGCAATTTGATATGATCCTTTTTTTTCTTTGTTTAGTTAAACTGACTTTATAATTTGGTTTGTTCAAGAGTAGTAATGTAGTTTATTCTCTTTGTTTTTAAGCTTCAAGTGTAGTTGAATATTTTGTAATGTAATGTAATGATGACATTGTGTTTCTAGTAATTTTGTAATATTTATGGTAACTAATTGGTAACTAATAAATAGAGTTATTGGCCAAACCTAGCTAGGGATTGCCAGTGTAGTTGTTGGGAATTTGTTGGATTGTTATGTTGTATCGATAAGCATGAAAACTTTCGTGGAGATTGCAGTTTTAAGGGAGGATTGACGCTAATGTAATATTTTTATCATGCTTGGATCCTAGGAATTTTGAAGTTGAAGATAGGAGCTGAAATGCTTAGTGTTGGATATCCTTTTCTATCTAAGAAGAATGGCTTCTGTATGAGAAAATTTCTGTCCATTGGAATAAGTTACTTGCTAAAGAGACCACAGCTTATTAGACCATCTTAAATTGATTGATGCTGTTATTTTCTTTTGTTGAGTGTATCAAAAAACTAGGAAGGGAGTGTTATGGAAGTAAATATTCTCGCATTTATTGCTGCACTGTTCATTCTAGTTCCTACCGCCTTTTTACTTCTTAAAGAAGAGGTTTTTTTTTTTATGAAGTTTGCTTGTCATTCTGAATTTATCCTTTGTTCAGGTTTATTGCATGAAATGCTTAGATCAGCCAAAACAGGGGACTCAAAATCAACTTGGAAGGTACCTCACTTGGTTCTATCAAATAGCTTATTATTTTTCTATTCCTTCAATCTATACTATTTTCTTAATAACACTTAGATCAAGTAAGCAGCCTTGCATTTCATGGAGTTTCAAATCAATATCCTAGCATTTCATAGTGTCTAGAACTGATTTTCCCAGAAAGCTCAGAAGCACGACACCCTTGTTTTGAAACAAGCGGTAAATGTCCAGCTTCTGTCAACTGTGTTATGACTGTATCCTGATGAATTAACTATTAGCAAAAATTTGGTACTTGTTAGAATCGTGTCTTATTGCCTTATCCAGTGACTTCCCCATATAGACAAGTGTTTTGCTATATTTTTGTGTGATTAGAGCTATCCTGCAATCATTTTCCATCTTTTAGAATGTGCATTTTTCAATAATGTCAGTTCTTGAAAATCTCTACCTGCAGGTGCTCATCATGGATAAGCTTACTGTGAAGATCATGTCATACTCATGCAAGATGGCTGATATCACCCAGGAAGGAGTTTCATGTAAGAATAAAAGGGAAAACTCTGAAAATTTGGGATAGTTCAGCTGTTTCATTACAATTTTTTAAAATCCATTTCAGAGACAGAACAGATAAATTTTTTGCTTTTGTAGTTTGTCTATGCAAACTTTTGCTTGGATTGTATCATATGCATTTTAGATCACTTTAAACAGCAGTTGGTTGCAAACACCAAAGAATACTATTCCAGTATTCTATGAGATGGAGCGATGCATGAAATAGTACACCATTAAAATAAATGATTTGATTCCACACATGGCTGTCCATTGAAGCATTTCATTTTCTATGCAACCATACCTGTATTCTGATTGTTGTAAATTACTGACACACGTCGCTCTTCAATATGATATTTTCTTAGCTTAGCATTACAAATGGGATCGTATGGTTTAAATGATGGGAGGACAAAAAATTTATGTCCATTTGAATTTTAATTGCCACATTTACCAAGTTGTTTGATTATCATTTTTTCTCTCTGCAGTGGTAGAAGACATATACAGACGAAGGCAGCCATTGCCCTCCATGGATGCTATATACTTCATCCAACCAACAAAAGAGAAGTAATGCATTTTCCTTTGGTTGACCTATATTCAGTATCCTGCCCATCAAAAAGAAATAAAGAATATTTATGTCCTCGAGCTTTTCCAGTTTAATTGCTTTGCAGCATTAGGGACTTGCGTGAATAGCATCGGGACATATTTTGTTAATTTTTCTTGAATAGATTGTATGTAGAGTACATTCTCTGAGTGGTTAAGATTATAAATCTGAACTTTAGTTGTTAAGGCAGGTCAACGACTTCTTGAAATGCACTCAGTTTCATTAAACATGATGCTCAACCTTTTTGGGCATTGTCCCGCATTATTCACTAAGTTATTGAGTTAGTTGGTAGGTTGACTAAGAGACTTTACCTGTTGACGCCTGTGCTGCATTGATTTTTTTTTAGTAAATCTTCCATTACTGTTTGTTGTACTTTGCAGTCTTTGTGCAATTTTATCTATAGCAATGCTTATTTTTGCAGTGTCTATTAGCTTGTAAAATGAACACTGCCACGTACTTGTTATAGTAATACAGTTATGCTATCTTTAAAGAAAGAATTGAAGTTCTTATCTACAGTGAAGTCATTACTATCATCATCATTTTTATTTTTTTGAGAAAGGTGGTGTTCTTACTATTGGTTTTCTCTTGCAGTGTTATCATGTTCTTGTCAGACATGTCTGGTAAATCGCCTTTATACAAAAAGTATGTGAAATGTTGTTTTGCATTGTCCTACGCGGTTCAATTTTAACTTTCGAAAGTCCAAATTTACTTATGATTCTCAACTTATTTTATTTTTTTCTTGTCTGTATATGAAGGGCATTTGTTTTCTTCAGTTCCCCTATTTCAAGAGAACTGGTTTCTCATATCAAGAAAGATTCAACTGTATTAACTCGCATAGGTGCATTGAGAGAGGTATAGGTCTCTTTCTTAGTAAAACTTTTGGTCATTTGAATCAATAATTGTGCTGAAGCAATTTGATTTGTCAGCTAGATATATGTTCTCTTGATCCATCATTGGTTTAAATCTTACAAAAAGATATTGACGTATTTGTTATTCTGATGTGCTAACTATGCAGATGAATTTGGAGTATTTTGCTATAGATAGCCAGGTTTGTAATTTATCTGGTTCAATATTGTATGCAAAAATATTGATTATCTTTTCTATTTTCTTGTGAATTAAATTATAACAATAGCTGTTGTTTGAATTTTCATTGTTGCTGAGGAAAAGCTTGTTTTTCAGGTTGAGTCTATTTATGCCTGATTTCATTAATGATATTTTGTAGCTTCCATGATCTTTTGTTTCCAACCAGAATTACCATCAATGAGATTGATTTTTAAGACTAGATGCTATCTTTTGTTTAAAAGTAGTTAACATTATTTTCTCCAGTGAAACATCGAATCTCAAAAGGCATAGGACATGGCAATCTGTTACAATGCTAATTTCTGAAACTTTGCAGTTCTTTTGGTATTTATTCTCCTTTTGAGTCAATATTTACCTCCTTCCCCCCCCCCCGAAAAAGCCTCTTGTGTCTTGAACCTATAACTCTACTAGAGAGATGGGAGGGGGAGAGAGAGAGAGAGAGGGAGATCTTTTTTTTTTAAATAATTCCCCTAAGGGAAGTTTGAAATGGTTCTAAGCTACATGTCGCTTTTTTTTTTCCTTTCGTTTTTCGAAAAAATTCCCTAGGGGATCGTTTGAGGTGGTTCTAAGCTAGATATCACAGTGAGCAGTTGAAATCAGCTTGTATTTTGTTTTGATTTTTAAAACTATTATTTGTCATTTAAGCTGTTTGACCCTTTCACAAATTTCCATTCACAGCTCACAAAGCTTGCTTCTTTTGTTTTTGAAATTTTTTCTTTTCGATAGTTTCCTTTTCCCGTGCCTATCTTCATTATGTTATTTTTTTCCCCATTAGTGGTGATACATTGTTCCATACAGGGTTTTATTACTGATGAAGAAAGGGCTTTAGAAGAACTTTTTGGGGATGAGGAGGATACTCGCAAAGGTGATGCGTGTTTGAATGTGATGGCTTCTCGCATTGCTACAGTTTTTGCTTCACTACGGGTATATATAATGGCTTCTAAATGTTGATTCACAATCTATTGGTAACATTCTTAGGCATGCATATGTCTATTTATCAGGAATTTCCTTTTGTGCGATATCGTGCGGCCAAGTCCCTTGATGTGACAACAATGACAACTTTCCGTGATTTAATTCCTACAAAGCTTGCTGCTAGAGTTTGGGATCGTGTAACGCAATATAAGCAAAAGATCGAACACTTCCCTCAGTCAGAAACATGTGAACTGCTAATCCTGGATAGATCTATAGATCAGGTCTTTAGTTGCATATTGCTTAGAAGCTTGTTTTATGATTATTGCATGGCTTGGTTGCATTGCTCACGTGCTTATTTTGCAACTCTAGATTGCTCCTATCATACATGAGTGGACATATGATGCAATGTGCCATGATCTATTGAATATGGAGGGAAATAAGTATGTGCATGAGGTAAGTCAACAGTTGAGAGCTCTATATACTCTTGAATTGGCTGATTTGCTGTTGGATCTCATTAGGATAGTGTTTATTAACAATTTGCACTGTTCAGGTTCCCGGCAAAGCAGGTGGTCCACCTGAAAAAAAGGATGTTCTTTTGGAGGAACATGATCCTGTCTGGCTTGAGCTTCGGCATGCACACATAGCAGATGTAAGTATGGTTACATTTTGTTAGGTTTTAAGCATCCGCTCTTTGAATGCTCTAATCCTTGGTTTCCTTATTAGGCTAGCGAGCGGCTCCACGAGAAGATGACAAACTTCATATCAAAAAATAAAGCTGCCAAAATCCAACATGGTTCAAGGTTGATGAAATTCTTTATCTATGTAAATTGCTGACCATTGTCATGATGTCATTAGTGAACTGGTATAATCTTTTAGATTCATCAACTTTATCCCATAGGAGCATTAATTAATGATTCAAACTTTACAAATGAGTAATTTAACTGAAAATTTTGTCCCTGTGCCTAATGAGTAAGGTAAGGAGATCTATCTGTACACAATTTTTCAAAGGCTTGAACTGATGCTACTCATTAGATATGGCTGTAATAATTGATCTGTGTTACATTGTTATTAGAATTGTTTCATTAAGTTAGTGTTTTTTGGGAGCGTTTTACCTGTCTTTTATTTCTTTTTTCTTTTTATTTTTTTCTTGTCATTAAATTTTTTTAGAGTTTTTGTGTTGTTTGCTCAGTTGGTTCACATATCTTGTGATCCCAACTTTTTTTCGTCTCTTGCTTGTAACCACCTAGTTCATATATTTTGCAGTCTGGGATTCCATTGCTAAACGGTATAGAGGGTATTTTTCATGGAGGGAAAAAGGTGTAGAGAAGACTAGCTGTTGGAAATTTGGGATTTTTGTAGGAATTGGGTTGGATGATGGCATGGAAGATGATTTCTGGTGTCATTTGTTGATGTAGGGGACACCTGTATGGTAGTTTGGTTGGTGTGAGGATGTTGATATTCTGTTTTCTTTTACACACACACACACACACACTTATATGCACCTGTGGAGGTTTGGAATTGATAGGGATTGTTTTTCAAGAGTGGATGTATAGCTGATGCAGTAAGAAGTTAAAAACATCAATGGAGTTAGTTTACTGAGAACGACTGCTACTCATATTATCTTAAAAATAAAATTTCTTCCTTGTTATTTCTCCATCCTCTTTCATTTTTGTATAAATAACCATGGAAGTTAGGAATTGATATATGGTTTTCTCTGTGTCAACTTTCCCAAGAACCTATTTTTCAGGATTCGGCAGGCCCTGTCTAAAAATGGGGTTTATAGTTTGCTTTGATTGTTCAACTAGAGCTGTGGCATATGCCTTGTGTATTTTTGTTTCTGCCTGTTTAGTTAAAACTAGTTTTATCGGATTATAAGTTTGCTGAGATGATATATCTCTAACCTTGAAATTTACTTGTTGTGTAGAGATGGTGGTGAACTTTCTACACGGGACTTGCAACAGATGGTTCAAGCATTGCCTCAATACAGTGAACAGATTGACAAGCTCTCCCTCCATGTGGAGGTTAGTTTCTTGCTTCTGACAGAAAACTATATATATATATATATATATATATATATATATATATTTTGGCTTTTTGCTGGCATATGTGTAACATAAGAAAATGAACACAGTTCTAATATGATGCTCTTATTTTTTGGACCTCGTTCAGAAGTTTGGCTTCATTCTTACCATTTGTTTAGCAAAATAACTCGTGGGCTCTAGACTAATTTGCCAGCTGATGCTTTTGTCAAGGAAATTTGACACACATATATTATGTGGCTGTTATACATGCTGGTTATTTGAAACTAATTTCCTCATTCTAGATAACCTTTCCAAAAAACTTTTTTGATGAATGAATAGTTATCTTATGGGATGGGTGTTTGAACCCCAGATCTTTTCTTTTGAGGAGATGTGCAGTTACCACTAGGTTATGCCTCAGTCTCATCTCTCATGATTGAATGTTGGTGCAGTACATAGTGTTAATTGCAAATGAACGATGCCTGGCTGTGCTATGATTTGTCATTTCATGCTCATGATTGATATAATCTCTGAATTCCTAAAGTACATTGGCATTATGGCTTTAATGTAAACTTCCCCGCTATGATTAAGAGGTTATTGATGCTTTTGCTTATTAGCTCAAATGCTAGGGGTTTGATGGAGGGTTGATGCAGATTTTATGTGTAGATCTGATCAGTAATAAAATGAGATAAGAGGTCATTGACCAAAGTTCATTCTGCTCTAGTTTCAAGTCCAAATAGTTCTCTAATATTTCTATTACTGAAATTAATTTGTCATGATACTATTTGAGTAGTTTCTTGGTTGTTGATTTCTACTCATTTTCATCTCTGCTAATATTTTAACTAGGCTACAGAAGTCCCTTTTAGAACAGCACAATGTTTCTTTTAGAGAATGCAGCAAATGGACCCTTTTTTTGTTTATCTACTTTTCAATGTTGAGCTTTTTAGAGCTTTATGTTTAGGCATCCTACTCATGTTCCCTCCGAGTGCAGTGTCACATAGATGTTGTCAAGGCTCTGCTCGATTGGTTTGAGGTGACTTGTTAATTAAGTAATTTATTCAACCAAACGAGTCTCTCATAATTTTGAAGCCTCACCAGATATAGGGTATTTTATTCTCGCTCTTCCCTCCTTTTCTGCAATTCACGTTTTGAGTTTTAGATAATTTTACAAAATATTATATGAGTTTTAGATAATTTTACAAAATATTATATGAACCTTGCTTTTCATACCAGTGAGTGGAATTTGAACTTTTGCCTTGATGGAAATTCCATAAGATATTTGGTTCTGTATTTTTGTTTCATGCTTTCTAGTTACTATGAAATGCTACACTCTGTAGACTGCCTTTGTAGATATCATTGCTGAATTTCTGGTTTCTGGATAATAAGTTGTGTGCTCTGCTTAGAGCCCATTATTCATGGGAGCACAAATTGCAGTTAGCTTAAATTGTATCATTCAGTTTGTTCCCCCTTTGGAATACATATGAAATAGTCTGTGCATAATCGGAAAGAAAAACTAGACCCACTGGTTGATGAAATATTCATGTGGTCCATGGCTTCATGCAAATTATGTTTTATGGATGCAGATTGCCGGAAAAATTAATAGAATTATCAGGGAGTTGGGGCTTCGAGAGCTTGGGCAACTAGAGCAGGATCTGGTTTTTGGAGATGCAGGAATGAAAGATGTTATCAAATTTTTGACTACGAAAGAGGTAAAACTTGCAGTAAATTTTAATGGATGCTCTTGTCAATAATATTTACCAGGTAGGAGTCTCACTCTTTTGTAGGATGCAACTCGTGAAAATAAGTTGCGGTTGTTGATGATTCTTGCAGCCGTTTATCCTGAAAAAATTGAGGGTGAAAAGGGTCTTAATATAATGAAGGTACTTTTCTTTGTTTTTGTGCTGGTTTTCAATTTCTTATACTGTTTCGATGTCAAACAGCAGAGCTTTTGCTTACCTTTCTTCCTGATTTGATATTATTGAGAACATTTGCCATGCATATCGGAACTAATTGTTTGAATTCCTTTCAGCTGGCAAGATTACCGGAAGATGACATGAATGCTGTAAATAATATGAGATTGCTTGCAGGGGCATCAGATACCAAAAAAAGTTCAACGGGTGCTTTCTCCCTGAAGTTTGATATTCATAAGGTGAACACAAATGTTTGTCGAAATACTGCTTCTGATTGGTAATTTTAAAGCTTACACTCTTTTCTTCTTCCCAATCAATTGCCAGAAGAAGCGTGGTGCCAGGAAAGACCGCACTGGTGCAGAAGAAACAACGTGGCAGCTGTCTCGCTTTTACCCCATGATAGAGGTACATCTGCTTATTTGATTTTTCATGTATAATTGTCCCTTTTGTGCTTTATTATCCTTCATTTTTCATGTGACGAGGCAACTTTGACGTCAAAAACTTCTTTCAAAAAGCTTTTGTTCATTTTACAGTACTTTTGTTACATGTAGTTCTGTTACAAAATCCTACATCTTCCATTATCAATTTGCCTCAAAATAGGGAGAGATTGTTAGATAGATTAGTCTACCAACTCATTCGTAGACGGCAAATATAACAAAACACATGGTCAAATTCATGCAAGACTCATACTTCATTATATATGTGGGACCTTTGACTTCTTATCCTTGTGTCTTGTGTCTACGGGTGAGCTCATAGACTCTCCACCAATTTTTCCTAAATAGGTATTTTCCAACGATTTATCAACAGCCTTGATGCCTTAGCTGTTGGTAAGATTATACGTAAGGATGGTACTCAGTACTCACCCAAATGCAAATCATATTCAGGAACTTATTGACAAACTTAACAAAGGAGAACTTTCCAAGGATGAATATCCGTGCATGAATGACCCAAGCGCAACTTTCCATGGGACATCCCAGTCTATGCCAATGCATCAAGCTCCAGCTCCCCATTCAATGAGATCGAGACGGACACCAACGTGGGCACGACCACGGAACTCTGATGATGGTTATTCAAGGTATTGTTCTTGTTCTTTCATGCAAAGTCAATTGAATATTCTATGATTAGCTGGGAAAATAAACCATGGAGTTCAACTTGTGATAATTTCCTCTTCAAACCTAACACATTCTTCATCATTTGTTATGCTCCTGTGATCTATCAGTTAATGATTTCCGTACTTGGTCATTGTCTCCTGGTTGATTTTGGTTGTTGCTCGTATGGGCTCACCATAGTCCATTGTTTATTATGCTTGTGGCTATATTTGTAATACCATTTCTTTGTGCTGCCCTACAGTGATTCAGTTCTAAGACACGCATCTAGTGATTTCAAAAAGATGGGCCGGCGTATTTTTGTATTCATTGTAGGTGGAGCTACAAGATCCGAGGTAAGAAGATGTTGAATCCCAAATCAAGTATCATGGTTGTCTTTTTGGCTTGTTTAATGTTTTTATTCTAATTAATCTCCAGCTAAGAGTTTGCCACAAGCTTACAAGCAAGTTACAGAGGGAAGTAATTTTGGGTTCTTCGAGTCTCGATGATCCTCCACAATTTATTACGGTAAATAGTTTTTTCTGGAGCCTCCGATGATCCTTATGAAATGAACTGAACATCTGGCCAAAATAATAACGTAATTGATTTTAAATTGCAGAAGCTGAAACTGCTGACAGCACATGAACTTTCACTGGACGATCTGCAGATATAGGTGTGTTGGGATTAGAAGCTGAATACGAGGTTTCTCTAGGTTTCTGACCACCCCATTTGTAATTCATCAACACATTCTTACATTTGATTGTATCCATTTTTTTTTATGTAAAATGTCTACCCCTTGATAGCCGTAGTTGTGTGGTTGGTGTTCCATGTTATAGGAAAGCGCCTTGCCTAAGGCTGTAGCTTGTGTTTTGTAATATAAGCCAGAGCTACTGAGAAACTTACGATGTGTATAATATTTGCTTAACTAATTGAAACAGGGAAAAAAAAATCAATTGAATTTTGAAACTGAAAAAATAATGAAGTCCACTACAATCTATACTAGTGATTAGATGCTATGGCATCCCGGTTTAATCTTGGATATTATGTTTTTAGTGCACCAACAGATGTCTCTTTTCAGGTAGCTCCACGAGTTGTGAAGGTTGTTTGGTATCTGCGGCTACTCATTGTATTTTAGGTTACTGGTTCCTGCTTGCATTGCATGGACCATGGAGTGATGTTTATCATTGGTAAAGAAGAAAGGACAGCACAGCAGTACTTTCCAGTTTTATTAATGAGATTGAGAAAAAAGTATTCTTATCCTCAATAAGCGAGTCCAGGAAAGCCGGAAAGGAAAGAATGGCACTTAGGCGGTGAGAAGCAAGGTGCTGTTGCTTTTTTCGTTTGACTTCATATGGTAGAATCTGAGAAGATCCGTTTATCATATGGGCGAATCTTGCAGGAGGGAAGAGGATACGAGCACATCCACGCCATAACTAGAAAATTTCTCAATAAATTAGCGAATTTTATGCTGCTCTGATTTATTTTATACTTCAAATTGGTTTCCTTTAATTGTTAGGTTAGTTGGAATCACGAGTGCAAAAAACATTGATCAATCTGCGTTGAAAATTTGGATACCGCCAAGCTATCACAAGAACTTCTGGATTTCATACAATTACATAATAAATTAGGGTGGTGTGGTAAACAAATCATGGATCACTATCAGAGTAAATACCAGATTAACGAGGGTACAAAGCAATCAAGAGGCAAGACAAGACACCGCTTAAACCATACTCACTACTCGGCAAGGGAGAGGATGCCAACCAGAAGAAGCACAATGGAATCTTAAAGCAGATCTTAGACCTTAACTCCATATGTCTTCCAAAACTATGCCTTCTAGATCGTTGCCATCTTCTTGTTATGCCTAAAAATCTTCTAATCAAAGAAGTAAACAAACATTTTCTATTTACGGATTAATCTTAATGTTTCTGTTCAAGTAACTGAAATACTAACTGCGGAGTTCCTTTGTGGTCTTATGGAGCTGAGTTTCCGCTTCCCTCTTTTTAGTGTTGCCCACGATTCTCTTGACGAGAGCAATGTAACCGTCAACATCAAATTTCCGTTTGCAGCCTGCATAATTCATATAACGTATTTTCCCAAAAATTGGTCGCTCTTTCCACCCCTGAAATCAAAACCAGAAGGGCCTAATTGACGCCACTTATAATGTAAAAGTAGAAATAACTGAATCATTCTTAGTTTCGTGCTTTTTTATCTATTCACAGAAGAAAGGAATACAACTACAGTTTATGGATTATGAAAATCACGCCTTCATTTCACTCAAAAGTACACCACCTTCTTACTATGATATAGAATTATGTTAGCTGAATCTCAGGAAAGAACTTTAGTACTGCATAAAGTCCGGAGGTAGCTTATCCCACTAAAGTTATTTTAAACAAACCTGATCATGGATGCCACATATTGACCACATGCAACCAACATATCCACCTGGATCCCTCCCGTCTATCTCATACTGCAGGCAGAGTTTAGGTTAAAACACTACGCTCTGGTTTAAACATTTATGAAAGCACATCATCATTCTGGTAAAATTACCTTGTCATTTAGATATATGGATATTGCAAGGGCTTCTTCAGGTCCTCTTGTCCACTCAAGAATCTTTTTCGCCCAATACATACTGCACAAAGTTCGCTAGTTTCTTACAACATCAAATGACAGCAAAAACTCAAGGACAAATTTGACAAAACCCATGAAACCAACCAAACCAATAAAAACAGGTAGCCAGTATTGATGGCAACAGTCAATACTCTCAAACTCAAAGCATTACTGCTTGACATGCTTGCAGATATATAAAACAACACTGAATACCATTGATGTCAGCATATTTCAAATGAATTCACAGTGGCTTCTTCATACGATCATGCTATAGCATTTTTCCATCTTAGTAACTTCAGTTGCTTAACTTCTTGGTACCAGTTCACTTGGCTCTCTTATATTGGTTCATATTAGATATCCAACTTTCCCTCATTTTCACTGACTTGCTATCAAACCAGAGAGAATAAATATGATAATAACAATAAGGAAGTTACTAGCCACACATTCTAGAAAAAGAAAAAGAAATGTTACTTGCCGCATGAAACCATGCATCTTCCCATGGTAAACCATCTCCAGCTGAGAAGCATTCCAAAGCTGAAAATTGAGATAAGATGATATTACTCTTATCAAGAAAACATCTTAGCAATGGATAAGCTGAAGAAAACTATGAAAAATAATCTTTGGTGGTTCTACATAAAATAGTATTTACAGACAAGACATAGGCTTACAGGATCAGCTGTCTGTGCCTTCTCTAATTGCTCCTTCCTAAGATTCAGTAATTTGAAATTTCAGAAAGCCTGGCAAGAGAAAGAAACTTTTCGGTATAAATAACCAAATCAAAACAATTGCACTCACGAATAAATATGTTCTCGCTGGTCAGAAGCATGGTCCACCAAGGTCTTACGTGCCCACTCCCATGCCCCCTGTATGGAATCGTAATGGGGCTGGTAAAAGCAAAAGTTGTCAGCAAGTTCTCTACGCACAATCAACTCCTCCAGAAATGCATCGGCTGACTTCAGAGTAGCAGGTACATGCACATATTTTAAGCTATACATTAGTTGTATATAAGAACCACTGAAAAAAAATGCAGTAGGTGAAACAATCAAATGCAATGGATTGTAAATTATTGAGGCCTAGGACAAATTAACAAAAAATGACAATTTGAAGGACAAGGCAATTATAATTATCCATAATTCACTTAAACATAAAATTCAAACGACAAGATTCCAGAATATGACCCCACAAACCTGAGGACTAAGATTCCTCACTTTACGTGCCTCCAAAGCACATCGCTGTGCAGAAATCTGCCCAAAATGAAGATATGGAGACAGACCAGAGAGCCCTTTAGGTTTTAGTGGGTTATTCCTATCTGTAGAATAATTCTTCAACCTTTTCATCAAGAATCCATCTTTACTTCCCATCAACACTTCCAATGCTGCATCTTCTCCTGGTTCACACCATTTGATTTCAGGAACTTCTGCCCCTTTCCTACACATACGAAATCACAAAATCAACACTACAATCAAAGGAAGCTCAACCCAGCTCTACTCAAACAGATAAATGTCTAACCTTAAAACATTGTTAATGAGACCATCCCAATCAATTGACTGATTCGTAGCAGCAGCCCACTTGTTCGTCTGTGATTGCAACATTGGGAAATCGATGAGGTACTCAGGTAGCAATTTATTTATCTTACCCCTTAAAGTCCTAGCACTATACTCCAATTTCTCTGATGCCACCCAAATAGGCACCACATTATGAGCATCAACTTCATGTATGCTCACCGAATCACTTACTCTCTTACGGATTTCATCTTTGCATTTGCGGACTTGTCTAAGAGGCGAAAAATCAGTAACTAAAAGTGAAGCCCCGCATTCTTTTAAAAATTTTGGTATAGTCTCTTCAGCTTCTCCCTACACACCAAACCCCAAAAAAGCCAATAAACAATGGCTTGTTAGCAGATGAAATTCATAGTATCAAGTACTTCTCCTCTTCAAAATTTGAATCTGATTTTCTTTTTTTATTATTAAAGTTTGAATGTTTTCATCACCATGTATAATAGTAGCACCGAAAAAGGAACAGAAATTCCAACAAAAAGCACCAAAAATACCAAATGGTTTCATTCAAAGTATAATAAAACTGACCTGGAACAAGAAAAATGGGATTTGAAGTGTCTCTTCAATGTTTTTTTGTAGCTGAGACAAACCCCTTAGCATAAAACCTAGTTGCCTTGCTTTTGCCCCCAAAAACTGATCAAACAAATTGAACGCCACAGCTACAGGCACGTTGTTCCTGTTGGCCTGATCAAAGGCATGGATTAAAGCCCAGTTGTCCCTGATCCGTTGATCTCTAAACATCCAGTAAACAACAGGACCACCACCCACTTGCTTTCTGGATCCTTCTTTGATGACCCGGATCCGACGCGGTTGGACCATGGTGTTTTGGGTTGCTGGGGAAGATAGAGATGCCATAGTAGAGAAGAAGAGGGTGGCAAAATGGTAGTGCTTGCTAACGTGCGCAATGGATGCTGGATAGCTGAGTATTGTGCGTGCCAGAGTGCGTAGGCTAAGGAGAGGGAGAGTCCGGAGATGTGGAGATGAGAGAGAAAAATGGAGGGAAGCAGAAACAGTTAAGGTTGTGGTTTTGAAAGGATAGACGTGGAGAGTTGGTATGTTGCCACGTGTTGATTCAATTGTGGGCTGCCTGAGACAAGTAGAGGGTCAACCCATAGGCCTTCCCTGCTCCTGCTTCCGGGACAGCAAGGTTTTAAGGGACAAGGTATATTTTGCCTCCTATAGATTCGAAAGATTTCTGTTTCGCTACTGTACTTTAAATTTCTGTAATGTTGATCCCAAATTTGAAATTTCCGATAGGTTCCCACGACTTCCCATTATCAAATGGCGATAGAACTACAGAAGTTCATAGATTCGGTTAAATGGAAGATCTATATTTTTTTCTTTCTCTTTTTCTCACTTTTCTCCTTACATTTTTTATTCAAAATTCTACATTTGTGTTAATATATATCCCTTAAATTAGATGATTTAACAGTGCTTTGAACGTACGTTGGATGTTCATAGTACTGAATCATCTGGTTGTTTTTAAACTGGTTTACGTATTGATTGTAGATGACCTGCACTCCCTTAAAGCTTGGTAGATACCGGTGTTTTGTTACACAATAACCAGAAATCTGAGAGATTTTCAGCTTTTTTTTTTTCCCAGCATAATCAATTTCCTCAACCATATCAAACTTTTTGGAAGCAAAATTAATTACTATAAATTTATGCGGCAATAGTGTGATGTTTTTTTTTCATGAAGAAGTTTAGACTTCTTAAGAGACACAAAAGCTGGACAAGGCCGATGTTTTGGTGGTTAGGAACCTAGGAGTAATGAATATGTTCGAAGCAGTTACAATTATCTATATGGGCTGCTTTAAGAAGCAAGTTGAATGTCGAAAAGCTAAGACGTCAAGTCAGGAAGACTTGCAAGAAAACAAATGCATCTGATGAGTTTTCCAAAGAAGAAGTGAAAGTGAGGTTACCTTCATTACCCCTACAATCATTACTCTCTGTAAATGATCTTCTCCGGTTTATTAAGGAATATATATTAGAAGGAAAACTTTTATCGTATGTAACATGTTGGGTCTATAGACGAATAATGAGATGGTGAATAACATTAATTGTCAATATGCATTGTCTCTCCTGAAACAAAGGAGATCGAATGGGGGAAACTGAAAACATATGGTAATTAATGACTCAAATTATGTCATGATATTGATGAGTTGAAGTCACAGTCTAACAGAAAAAAAGGGACTCTTTTAATGGAATGGATTGTGGGCCTACAACCTTTAGTTTTGGTTGTCCTCTTTCAACCATAGGAATATTTTGTCCGTCATTTTTGAGGATTGACTACTAGTTGCAGGTAAGATACTTGTGATGGAGCAAAATTTGGAAAGTGAAACTGAAAACAACTTCATGCTTCATGTTACTGATATGATACACGCATGATCATACTGGATCGAGTGCTTTCCATTTCGCCTCATCCAAAAAGAAAAAAGAAAGGTTTGAAAAGCCGTTCCTTCTCGTAATTATATGTAAAACAAAACCATAGTCAATCAGTAAGGATTGGTCATGTATTGCTCTGGCTAACAACCTTTGAAAAGATAGAAACTGTTAGTATTTTAGCCTCCTCCTATGAATGCCTTGTTTGGAGCTTCAAAACTATGTCAGGACACGATGCTTTCAAACCCTATAGCTAAAATAAGATGATGCCTTGTTAGTATTTAAATCACTTTTCCTTGACCTAATGATCCAAACTTTGTCTTTAAATTCCAAGTCACGGAACTAGTAGTTTAAAACCCTAGCTATATTATAAGATGTTAATATACTGAAACCTTGACCTTTTCTTCTTTTTTTTTTTTTCCCCTAATGATCATATTTCCAAACAATAACAATCAAATCAAAGCATAATTGACTGCTCAAAAAACGGAAGAAAAAAAAAAAGTGATTTAAATTAGGGTGCCTAATGAAATTATGTCGCTAGGGGTAGGGGATAGATTTGCCCCCACAAGACCAACCAAATCAAGCCCACATTTTCAACAAAGCCCATTAAACAAATCATAAACCCCACTGCCCCACTTTTCTTTTCGATTGCTATGGACCGTTACTCGTTAGCCAATCGACTAAAGCCGCATCAGCTTAGACCTCAAATTAATAATAAATAAAATACTGCAGAATTAGATGAATTATGTGGAGAAGATGGGAGCAATGATTCCTTTCGTTGTTTGAGAAAGCTATGTTTCAACTGAAACTATATATATATATATATATATATATATATAAAAGGACGAAAATGATGGCCAATCCCACCCACATTGTGCTATGAGTACCGTCGCAGGAGATCTCAGCTGCTTCCATGTCGGGTTCCTGCACGTGCCAAGCACGTGGGTAATCACTAAATCCAATCTCCATTTGTTAATGACCAATGACCGTAATCCTAGTGTAGGTTTTGATATTATTACACAAAAGGTTGCTTAATTAGGCAACTTAACCTTGAAGATTTCTTATACAGTAGACACCATGATGAGGCTCTTATATATATATATATATATATATATATATATATATATATATATCATCATCATCATCATCATGTTAGTTGGATGAGATTCTTTTATGAACACATTATTCATTCTAGAGAAAGAGAGAGAAAAAAAACCCTAAAATCCTATTTTTTAGCTAGGGGACCCCTAAATCATAAGATTTAATTACTTTACACAACCAAGATTTAATTTATGAAATTTACTTATTTTATTTTATAATATACTGTCTTATTTTTAAGTTTATCATATGTCTATTTCATAAAGTTTATAATTAAAATAATAGAATTGTAGACTTCGCTATTTGAAATTTGAATTCTATCGAGATAAAATTCTTAATGTATTTTTTTCGATTAACAAATTAACATCTGACATGTTTTTTTGTTGTTTGAAATTTAAAATTTGTTAGGATCATGTTTTTAATATAATTCTTTCAATTGTTTAGTTAATAAGTTAACTAAACACATTTTGCTTTTTAAAATTTAAATTTGTCATGATCACATTATTGATATTATTATTGTATTTTTTAATTAAAAATTATATTTAGATAAGCGTTTCGCTATTCGTAATTTGAAGCTCATCATGATCTCACTTCAATGAAATTCATCTTTATAATAATTAACCAATAAAATTACCTAACATATGCACCTAATCGAGAAATAATTTACAAACAAATAACATCGTAAAAAAAAAAATTACAGAAACTTTTAAACATCTAATAAATTACTACAATCTAATTAAGAATTGTCAGATATTCAACATTGCCTTGTTTTCGTAAGGTTAAAAAAAAAAACAGCGGTGGTTTTAGGAATAATAATGGTGTAGTAACAAACAACCTACTACAAGGAAAACTTGATGAATATAATTTATTTAAATAAGCAAATGGAATAAATTAGGCATAAACGAAATCCGATGGAGCCCCACCAAAATTACTAGTAGTGTTTTTAGCTACATGTCACTTTTGTTTTGTAGCACCTGACTAATACCGGTGATTGCTGCATTTGCACCACCACATAGACCATGATCAACTTCTTCTTGTTCTTCTTCTTTTTTTCAAAAAGTTTCCTGGAGTTGTTGCTCCAGTAATTGAAGAAGACAGACAGCCTGACAGACACTTACTCTTTCCTTGTTTATTTCTCTCAAGAGTGACGTCACTGCAAAAATGGATAATGTGTACGGACATTGACCGGTAAGATGACGTCTTACATAAGATGGTGATTCAACAGCAGTTGACCACGTGACTTGGCAACTCTTTTGAAAAGAATATTTTTAGTCCAAACTTGGTCCCTTTCCTCTCCTGTTGTCTCCCTCACTCACTTGGCGCTTACCGTTCAAACTCTCTGTTGCAAACCAATACACGCATGCATATACAACCCCATTTCAATTTTTTATATATCAAGGTTTTCCTGAATAATCCCCTTCCAATTTCAAATTTTCATGTCAGATCATACTAGCTCAAGTTTGAATCCTGTTTGTGTTAATTAGAGCACTAGGAATTTGGATTTATATTTACAAAGACTTTTTTTTTTTTTTTTTTCGATCATTGATAGAAGTCGTATAGTCTATTGAATTATTAGACGTTAGTAAGTTAACATTAATAATTAATAATTAATGAAACAGTAGAAAGAATTGTATTATCATGATGAACTAAATTGACAATGACTACAAAAATAAATAACTATTCTAACCTTTTATTGTAATTAAGCTTTTTTAAGCTCAAATATTTTTTTAAAAAAAATTGAATCCACAATCTCTTGCATATGCAAAAGCTCACTATCATTACTAGAAGCCTATTAGTAAAGTTGTTAAGTAATTGGTTTGATAATTAACGAGATTTATTCTTTGGATTCTTTGAATTCAAATTTTAAAACAAATTTATTAAAATATTCTAAATACAGTAGAAGGGTGTGGAGGATTAAATTGTAAAAAAAAAATCTCAATTAACACATAAATTAGTCTAAAAATATCCTCATCAGCGAAAATAAATCTCCAATTACATTACGGGACATTCCATGTTCTTGTAAATTTCTTTTTATGGTCAACTACTAATAACAGCTTGGGCGCACACATTATATCATGTGGGTCGCGTATGGTACAACTCACGTTAATTGGTCAAGTAGTGGGACTATTGCGTTTCCAAATAACATTAAAGCATCATTATTTTGTTGGTGGTGGACCAATCGTACGGTCAGGGGAATTATATAAAAGACCATGATTGTGACACGTGCCTCGGTTTCCCATCCATAATTAACTTCAATTTCATAAAAGTGATGGTTGTTTATATATATATATATATATATACATACATATATATATATATATATATATATATATATATATACATACATACATATATATATATATATAATGTGTCAC